TAATGTGGCAGTAAAAAAAAATATATCGTAAAACTTTCAATTTACATGAAATTGATATTAGTGAGTAGGCACTCAAGTTTAAATTTGATTTCCAGTATATTCTATACATTGCTATCATTTATTTTTCTAAAGAAAAGTAACAAAATCATATTTAAATCTGCATATGAAATATAAATTTTAGTATCACTATCAATATATACATATGCATATATATATATTTTTATGTCACATCCCCTTGATGGAGTCGCCCATCAATTTGTATTGGAAGTGATTTAAATGCTTCAAATGTGCTTATATGGCGCAATACTTTAAGTTAGGGGTATTTTGAATTGTAGCCAAATTTGGGATGTTGTTAAGAAATCGATCAGTTTTTCAAAAAGTTAGGGGTTGTTCTCTTTGTGTTTTGAGTTTTGAATTTATTTTGGGTTTTATGTTTTGAATGTCAATTTTGAAATTATTGAAAATGTGTTTTTTTGACATTTTGAAAAATTGTTTTCAAAAATCAAAAATTAGAAAACCCATTTTCTTTCTTGGAAAAGTTAGGGGTTGTTCTCTTTGTGTTTTGGTGGTTGGGGTGGCATTAAACTATATACACCCAAAACGCGTTTTGAAAATTTTGATTTAATTATAACTGAAAATACCTAAAACGATAAATTAGGTTTTCTTTGTAAATTTTTAATTTGTTTTCAAAAATACATTTTCGAAAATAGGAAAGAGAACGCGTTTTCACTCTTTCAAAAATCGAAAACAGAAAACGATTTGAAAACGGTAAAGATAACAAACCCTTAGCAATGGTGTCTACCTTGTGTTGTTAAAAGACAAAAATGCCTTTTTTATTTTTTTGCAAGAATGGTCAAATTGAGTGTGAGGAGTAGATTTTAGAGTACATGTGTAGGTGTCGAAATCTATATGGTACAAAGTAGAAATAAGTGATGAATCTATATTCATATATTCGAAGTCGGTAATTCACTAATTTGTCTTCTCAAATCAGATTTCGGTAAGTCGAATGATATTTCGATTGACGCATATTAACGACATGTTCTTGATAATATAATATGCACATTATCGGTGTAAAATCTCCAACAAAAAATGCCTTTAATGCACTACGTCAATAGAATGTGGTAGTAAAAAAAAAATATCGTAGAACTTTCAATTTACATGAAATTGATATTAGTGAGTAGGCACTCAAGTTTAAATTTGATTTCCAGTATATTCTATAGATTGTTATCATTTATTTTTCTAAAGAAAAGTAACAAAATCATATTTAAATCTGCATATGAAATATAAATTTTAGTATCACTATCAATACATACATATATATATATATATATTCTCTTTGTGTTTCAGTATTGTGTTTTGAGTTTTGAATTCATTTTGAATTTTGTTTTTTAAGTGTTCATTCTGATATTGTTGAAAATGTGTTCTTTTTGATATTTTGAAAAATTATTATCCAAAATTGGAAAACTCATTATCTTTCTTCCCCTCTCTCTCGTCTTTCTCTCTTCTTCCACTCCTTTATGTCGACGAGCAACGACAGTGGCTGTGATTGGTGTGTAGTGTGTGACGGTGGTTGATTGTGGCTACGATCGCCGATGACTTCGTCTCTCTCTCTCTCTCTCTCTCTCTCTCTCTTGTGGTGGTGGTGGTGTTTGGGTTTAGGTTTGTGGTTGTGGTGTGGCACTGGTTTTTGGGTATGGCGCTGGTTGTGGCTGTGGTGTGGCAGTTGTATGGTGGTGGTGTGGCGCAGGCGACGGCGGTGATGGTTGGGGTGATGTTGTGGCGGCGGCAGCGACAGTGGTTTTTGTGCTGGAATGGTATAGGCGACGATGCTGGTGGTTGCAGCAGTGACGGTGGTATGGTGCAGACGGCGTTGGTGGTGGTTGGAGTGATGTTAAACTAAAAACACCCCAAAACACGTTTTGAAAATTTTGGCTTGATTATAACTGAAAACACCCAAAACGACAAATTGGATTTTCTTTATAAATTTTTAACTTGTTTTCAAAAACGCGTTTTCAAAAATAGGAAAGAGAACGCGTTTTCACTGTTTTGAAAAATCGAAAACAGAATACGACTTGAAAATGGTAAAGAGAACGCGCCATTAGCAACAATGTCTACTTTGTATTGTTAAAAGACAAAAATGCCCATTTTTGCAAGAATGGTCAAATTGATTGTGAGGAGTAGATTTTATAGTACATTTGTAGGTGTCCAAATCTATATGGTACAAAGTAGAAAAGACTTGTAAGTGTATAATAAGATTGTCCAATATTTTATTTAATAAGAATGTTAAATGGCTCGGCTTGGTTCGGCCCCTTTTTGGTGGGGCAAGTCGAACCAACCCAGGAGCAACTTGTTCACTAAAATTACAAATCGTAGAAGTACGGGTCGCGTTTATATAATAAAGTGAATTGTGAGTTCAAATCGATCTTTCAAGAAATATTTACTTTTAATTACACTACCCAAGTCATTTTAATTCTAACAATTAAAGAAGAATACACAATATGAATTTAAATTATGAAAATAAAATAAAATAAAAATAGATTGAAATTCGATTCAAAACACACCACATTACAAGTTTAGGAAGGCTTTGAGGATTAAATAATTGTGATTCATGATTTCACTTATCCGCCGCTTAATTAATTTCTAAAGATGCTAATTAATTAAACTACTCATTAATCATGTTAGACCTGATTTTTCAATTTTAGCTAATTACCTTTCTCGAGTGAAATTAACCATAATTAATTGGTTCAACCTATTATATTTCTATGTCGATTAACAGTCAAACAATGGCATGAAATCTTTGTGAAAATAACTCAATTGATCACCTAGAATTAAGGAATATCTGTATCCCCTATAAGAACCTAAATTTTTACTAATCATTAAATATCGATATATATTGACCAAATAAATGCAAGACATTAAGCCATTATTTGGTATCAATTATTTTCAAAATATATTTTGCTCTATCTTATTTTTGACTGGACATTTTTCAATAAAATAATATTAAATTCTAATCCAAACTTTTTCTTATTTTTTATTCACACATTCTCCATCAAAATACTATTTCAAAATGCATTTTCATACAAGGGAGGGGGGAAACAGGCTATAAATACAATAATAAATGCATATGACAATAAATATTTTGACATTAAAAAGCAAATATTAAAATTAATTAAGCTAGATTAAGTTTACTCTATCATCCCAACATCAAAAGATTTATCTCATCGCATCAAAATGGAAAAGTTAGAGAAATACATCACAAAATAGAGAAAGTAAAGGATGTAAATCAAGATAATAGGTAGAACCCGTTCCTTTTGTGGATTCTTGAAGTAATGCAATAGATTGGTCTTGATTTTCCCCAATTTCTTACCACCTTTCCTTGGCTTTTCCTCCCCTTTTGTTACCTTTTTTTTCTCCTCTCTTTAGGTTTTGAATGGGTATGTAGAGAATGGGGCTCAAGTGGCTGAAAACTAGGCTTATAAATGGAGGAAATTACACTAAATCAGGTGTTTAGTTTAATGTTTTCAAAAATCAAGTTTTTACTTTATTTAAGCAAAAATCAGGTTTTAATTTTACAATTAATATTAATAAAAATATTTTAAATTATTAATATATATACCCACCCTCCCATCTACCCCACCAAATCTATTTTAAATATAAATCTCTATCCAAGCCCTAATCCATTTTATTTCTCTACACTCTGCCTCTCGTCGACTCCACCGCCTCCACGCCACGACGCCAGTCAGGGGTTTCCTCCCTTCCCTCAAAGTTAACTATGCATGGTGTACAAGATACACTAAGTCTCTATTTAGTATGAATTAAAATCCAAATTTTAATCTAAATCAAAGTTAAAGTAAATAATTAATTTTAACTGCAGATTTTATGAGTCTCATAATTTTTTAACCATATATTCATCAACTTTTGTCAAAATTTACTAAAAATTTGATTTTAATTCCCACCAAATAAGGGTTAAATATTTTAATCAAATTAAAATCTTGTAAAGAATGTGCAATTATTTGTGCAATCTTACGAAGCAGTTTATCCATTGCAATGTGTTTAACAACAACCACCTTCTCAAGAGAGTCGAATTATCATTATCAGGATATAGTGCTTTTAAATATACCTATTGATTGCTATCAACGCAATACATATAATCAATTGTTAGAGAGATACTACATCCGTACTTTAAGAATGAATAATTTTAATTCTTCTTTCATCTTACCGAACATCTTAACATAAATAGCCTTTTCGTCAAATCTTTAAAAACTTGGCAAGAATTGTTCCAAGAATATGATGATAAGCTAACCATTACACAAAAAAAAGGTAAAATTACACAAACAAAAATATAAGTGATTGTAAAAGGTTCATATCCGTTGAAATTGTGAAATTAAGAGAGTGATAGTAGTTGCTAAATTAGGAGAGTGATCGCCGCTAAATTTTACGACTAAGTAGCTGAGAAGAGATTGTAGACAAGAGAATATTAAAGAAGACATCGAATTTTAAGTTTGTGATGAAATTTGATTCCCAAAGAAAACCTATTTTATAGGCCCGAATTCTAAAAAAAAAAAAATTAAAATTAAAATTTGAATTTCAAAATTATACTTACATCAATTATTTGATTACTCAATTGCAAGAACAATCCTACACGTACATGGACATTTTACAAATTTTTTTATTGAAGGCACGTGGCATGATTTCATTGGACAATGTAAAAAATATAAACACATAAAGGTGCTGCCAACGTATCACCTTTATAAAACGTGTTTCCAATTGAAATATGCCATTGCAATGGTACTATGGCAGATGGGTGAGGCCTTCTGTCATTGAAAAACAATAGTGGATGCTACTGATTTGAAATGTCATATTTAAGAGTCATAATTATCATATCTTTTAGATACATTTTCAAATTTAAGATACTTGTGAATTTTTTTCACAAGCATAATGATCTGGACACAGTCTTGAAGAGAAGCTCGGTGAAATAGACATATATGTGAAGATGCAGACTATCTGCCCCTAGACAAAAAGATCCTATGAAGCTTCACTGTTCCCTGCGATTGAGTTTGGGCCTTTTCTGCACAGCTTAGGGGGAAGGTGAAGAAAGCCTCCTTTCGGAGGGCCTGAGCCATTTGTAACTCTGGAAGAGCTAGAATACCCAAATGCTAGTTGCAACGGATACGTGATAGAAAGTTTGAAACTTTTTAATCTCTGATTCAATATTATCCGAATGTACGAAAGAATAAAAAAAAAACCAAAAGCTCATCTTTGTGGCAATATTACCAAAATATCTAGTAAATCCACTTGGTTTCAGACTTGCTACAACCTAAGGTCATCATTTCCTTTGGTTTACACAACAAAAAAATTATTATGAGGGTTTACAAGAAATCAAAAAATAAGAGATTTTATCTAAAAATGTATACAAAAGAATATAAGAATATCCTCAAGCATCGAGGGAAGTGAACGTATAGAAATTCAAAAAAGAATTGATTTGACAATGAGGTGATCACTCAATTGATCATAAATATGGTCATTGATAAAAATTTTGTTAAATAGATTAAGGTTACACTGATATAATGTATTATCACAATTACGTACTAATCACAAATTAAATAAAGTCATAGTTACAAAGACACAATATGTTCGTCACAATTATAAATTTAGTCACAAATCATTCATTTTTATACGTTAAGTTATTTATCGGCCACAACTTATCTATTTATTGATCACAATTATTCAAATAATTGGTTTTAATTATTGATCACAATTATCCAAATAATTGTGAGTTAGGCTAGGTTGGTTTTTATCCTATCCAAACCCAACCTAAAAAAATTGATTTGATCTAAAATCAAACTAATGCAACCCAAATATTGGATTAAATCCAACACAAACCCATCAAGCTTGGGTTAGTTTGGTTTGGGATGGTTGATTTGGGCTTTGGCCAAAATCAAGTTGGATCCGATAATTTCTTTATTAAATTTGGATAATTTTTTAAAATTTGAAACCATTTGAAAATTCTTGTTGTTTTTAACTCATATAAGGATTTTTTTTTTCTAAAAAATAATATATAAATATGTTTAGAATTATGGAGCAAATTTTTTATCAATTTTTTTGGGATTCATTCATTTCATGATCATGTCCTTAATTTTTAATTTATCGTCAAATAACTTTGCATTTTGTACATGGTATTCGTGCTTTTCAGTCTATTTTTTTTTTTTTTTAAAGAGACATTTGTACATTCTAAATCCTTTTTTCCCACTATTTTGTCTATTTAGATTTTTTTATTTTAGGTATTAATTTTTTTTTTGTAATTTATTGGGTTGAGTTGGATTGAGTTTTAATTCATAAACCCCCAAATCGATTTGTTTAGGTTGGATTGATCAATTTGAGCGGTTTGAATTGATTTTTTAACATCCTTTGCCGTTGCTACCTCAGCACCACCACAGTTGTTTCCACCCAACCACCCTTCCACCGACAACCACCACCACCTCATCCTCAAATCAACTACAATCTCCACCTCCACCACACCACACCACACCTCCACCACCACCACCTCCTCCTCCTCCTCCTCCAACTAAAGATACATGTACCACCACCGCACAACCAGAAATGCCGCTCCACCATCATCTACACCACACAACCACCACCAACACCTCCTCTTGAAATTCAGAATCTCCTCCACCTGTGCCATACGACAACCACTACATTTACCTCTACCTCTACCTCCACCTCTTCTTTGTACATATCACAGAACGACCATTTCCCCCACCTCTACCACCACACAACCTTTACATTTTCTCTGCACAGATTGCATAAACTATCACCACAGATGCAGGGGCAGGCGCAGACCTTAAAAGTTAGGGAGCACAATCGAACTTGCAAAGAAGTTGAAAGAAATTTTACAATCGAAAATTTACGTCCAAAAAAATCATAATTTATGTAATTTTACATTCGAAAATTGACATTGGATATGACTTTTTCGGATATAAAATTTCAAAAATTTTAATGAAGAAAATTACATTAAGAAATTTGTATTACAAAAATAATAAATGTTAATGAAATAATTGAATTTTTTTAAAGAAAATGCGAGTTAAACGTCTTTATTTAAAACTCACGTTTAACGCATTTTTAACTATTTTCGATATTTGTTTGAATTATTTGATNCAATATCTATTTGAACTATTCGATATGCCCATAATGTAGTTCTCAAAATAAGTTTTAAGATGATATAAGCAATTTGTAGATTCGATTAGCGTACGATCGTCCGAGAATTTTCAAAATTAGTATGTTATCGAAATTCAAGTTTATTGTGATTTTGCCCTTGTTTGGTGGAAATTAAAATCAAATTTTTAGTAAATTTTGATAAAAGTTAAACAGTTATGGATTCCATAAAATATGTTATTAAAATTAATTTTTAACCTTGATTTAAATTAAAATTTAGATTTTAATCAATACCAAACATGATTTAAAAAATATATATATTTTTTCGAAAGTTGTGGGGGGTGGGGGGCACTTGCCCCCTCAGGACCCCCTAGGTCCGTCCATGCACAAAACGTTGCAGATCATACCACCCAGATTGCTAGAAGGTCATTGTTGCCACTCGTCCAAACGTCGCTGCTTCTTGTGCCGCCACTTCTGCTTCTTCTTTGTCTCATAGCCATCGCCAATCGATTGGTAAAATGGTGGAAAATGGTGGTCGACAGTTCATGCGTGGCGGGGGGAGGGGTGGGGTGAATATGGGGGCTAGGTTAGGGTTAGAGGTGAAAATAGGGGTGGCAGTGGATGTGGAATGAGGTGGGTTGGCAATTGATTTCTGAAATAAAATTCGTCTAACCTGATTATTGAAATGTAAACATCAAAATAGGTTTCTACGTAATTTTGCCATTATTTAATTTTCTCCTCGAGTGGATTTTCTGCCATGCATGCAGATTTTTATCCTAGGCAAACCAACTTATCCAGTACCCGCTCGTAAGCTGAGAATGGTCTTAAGAAGAAGACATACACTGTTGGAAGTATACAAACAGTCCAAACACCTAAATGCATATATTTATGCAGAAGGGAAATTTGAAAAATAAAGTCATGGTATGAAATGGCGCGAAAATTGTATTTAAACCGTTTTTACTTGTATTTATAGATAAATTATTATGGGGTGGATACAATCATAAGTTTATATCTTGTTATCGTGGTAATCCATAAAATTTGATGTTTTATAATAAAAGTGGTAATACTAACTCATCTGACATGACTATTAATAATATCACTAAAAAATTATTATGTCTTAAACATATAATTCAAATGATATTATCGTGAAAGAGAATAAATACTCATTGAACTCTTTTTCCTTGTCCAAGGTCTTGTACCATTGAATTTTCATAGCAAGATTTTAATAAGGTAACATTTGTAACATACTCAAAAGAATAATATATTATTTTTCCTTCGGTTAGATTTTTCCCCTCGTGATTTTTTCTAGTAAGGTTCTAACGAGGCATATTTGTATCTAATGAATGTTTATTAACCTAAAAGACATTTACTTATTTATAACCTTATGATTTTACTCTCGTATGTATTTAACCCCAGTTTGGTTTAGATAAAAATTAGATATATGGTGAATTTGATAAAAGTTGATGAAAATGCATGATGGAAAATTTGTAGGTCCCATAAAACGTGTAATTAAAATTAATTATTGATTTTAACTTAATTTAATCCACTTTTTAACTGAAACAAATAGGGGCTTGTATAGAATACTCCTGAAAAGAGCACAACAAATTCTATTTTTCAAGTGACCATCATGCTGACTAAAGTTAGCCAAAGATTGATAGATATCTTGTATGAAGATGATATTGATTGGGGTTATAACAAGACAATATGAAATATATTTCATTAGAATTGTACATTGAAGACATTGACATACATAACATAAATGACTCAATACAATGATTATCATTAATTGAAATCAAGGCATTAACAGTACATTTTTCTTGGATCAAGTTTTGTCCTATTAGATTTTTTTTATTAGACTTTAACGAGACAACATTTTATTACTCTAAAAAAAATTTTATACTCTTTTTTTGGTTTGGTATTTTTTTCCCATCATATTTTTTGTCAAACAAAATTTTTTAATGAGTCAATTATTATATAAATAGTCAAATTGTCATTCAGTGATGAGTATTGCGCCCCTGTTTGTCTCTCATTATGGGAGAAAGAATAGAGTTTTGAATAGTATTTTTTTGGGAATGTATGATTAAAATTTAAAGAAATCTTATCGATTTGTGCGTAGAATATTTTATTGTGTGAATGTGTGGTGGAGAAATAATACTGTAACAAACAATTTAATGTTTAAAGGATGACAAACGCACCCGCAAATAAAGTATTATTTGTGAGTGATCATTATTTCTTTACAAGGATCGTGCAACAAGTACAATATTAATTGATAACATCTTATTTGACATCATCATATTCATCCATTTTAAAAAATTATTTTCTACATCACATGTTAGAACTTTGGCAACACATGGTTGTCAACCAGTGTTGTCAACAAATGTTATACACTTAGAGGGTGTTTGGTGGGGATTAAAATTAGATTTTTAATGGATTGTGATAGATGTTTTTGAAATGTGTGGTTGAAAAGATGTGGAATCTATGAAAGATGTGGTTAATATTGATTGTATGACTTTGAATTGAATTAAAATCTGATTTTAATTCGGCCCAAACATGCCCTTAGCTTTATTCTTCTTTATAACCCCAATTGTAACATATAAAGTCTTCGTTTGAGTTTCATTTTTTAAACTCTTCTATTCTCAAACTGTAGAGAATATTCACAATTTTGCTCTTGTTTGACAATTATTATTTTCAAACTCTTTTTTCTACGTACTTATTTCAACCACATATTTACGCAATAACATATTCTATACGTAAATCCAAAATTTTTTCCTACTTTTTAACTAAACATTTTCGAAGAAACTATTATTTAAAACTCCAATTTCCCCAAATAATGATGGTCAACGAGAGGCTTACTGTTCTATTTCCTCTCTAATTTATAGCATTTAATATTAAACCCCCCCCTAGGGCTAATTTGACATTAGCTCATTTGTATATCAGCTTCCTCCGCATTATATACGCTCCCTACCCTCTCCCTCTTATAGAAGCTCCTAGCAAGCTTAATGAGCAACTCCCAAACGGTGGCGGTGTCGGCATCAGTAAACAGAGAAGAAATGAATGGAGCATCAGGTGAAGAACTGACCCTCGTAGAGCTCAAGGAAAAAATGGCACTGTTTGCAAAGGAAAGAGACTGGGATCAGTTCCATAGCCCCAGAAATCTGCTTTTGGCACTGGTTTGTACCATTTTGTTTTCATATATGCATATAAAACTCTCTATTTACGTATATTGTTGATGTTATTGAGGTTGTCTCTGTGTGTATGTGTTGTGCGTTCTTCTTTCGCTTCCATAAATGTATGTATGTTTATATGTAGTTTTGATTGTAGTCTTGTATAAAGTGAAATTAGTGGTCGAATTCTTTGAATTTAATAAGCCACCAAAGGTTCAGAATTTCTATACATGTAAAGATACAGACCATTGTTATGCTATTTCTCTTATTATCATGCACATAGAATCTGTAAATTGCCAGAAAATTTGGGTTTTCTTTCTTCTTTTTGTGTTGAAATTTGTTCCCTTTATATGAACTTTGAGGTAGCAAAATGGATGTCAAAAATAATAGATCTGTAACAACAAAATGTAAAAAAAAATCATTTCTTGATTCTTTTTGTCAATTTGTTTTGAGGAATGAAAAATTATTTTTAATTAATTTTTTTTTTGTCAAATTTTATAAGGAATGTTGACTGATGACTTTTGGAAACAAGAGAAATCATTTCCTTAAAAGCTTTTTTTTTTGTCCAAACTGAGTACTCTTGATTCTTGAGCAATTTCTTAACTTTCCCATTATATCAATATAGCACTTTGCAGTCAGAATACTGTCTCAAGCAGCAACATCAGCACAGGCATAATAAAGTTGCCATTACACCTTAAAAAGAACCAACTTTAATTTTATCCGCTAGCTGTACCCTTCTTTTGTGTCTTTTTATGTTAATGCTTATTCCAATAATCCATGTTTGTGTCAGGTGGGTGAAGTGGGAGAGTTGTCTGAGATATTTCAGTGGAAAGGTGAGGTCCCAAGAGGCCTACCTGATTGGGAAGAAGAAGAGAAATTACACTTAGGTGAGGAATTATCAGACGTTCTTCTTTACCTTGTGAGGCTATCAGACATTTGTGGTATTGATCTTAGTAAAGCTGCACTTAGAAAGATTGAACTCAATGCAATAAAATACCCCATCAGCCTTTGCAAGGGCTCTTCCCAAAAGCATATCGAAATCAAGACTATATCCGAAACTGCCCCAGCCCGCGGCGACGCCGCTGCCACCAATTCCACCACCAGCAATGACAATGGTGGTGTATGATCTTCTAGTTGCCTTCTTCTTTTTGTTAGCAATATTCAATATTATGTGTTTGGGGTCATTTTCATTTTCAGCCTTTCATTGTGTTTGTCTTTTTAGACATGAACTCCTGTAGTGGATTCATTACCATCTAAGGTAGATAAAGGTGCAGTATAAAGTGTGATGCTTTATCGTGTACAATGTAGGCAAAAGTATAACATATTATGCGACTAAAATGGGTTGTGTACGGTGTACCATATGTGAAACTAGTTGTGATGCTTTATCGTGTACAATGTAGGCAAAAGTATATCATATTATGCGACTAATATGGGTTGTGTACGGTGTACCATATGTGATACTAGGGATTAGTTTTGCATGAGCTCCATCCTGGGTGGTATGCTTTGTGGGTTTCGATTATAAAGCTATTTGTCGTTAAATTTGACATCGATTACATGAATCATTTTCCAAATTCGTTTGAATTTTTGATTGAAGGCTAGAAATTGGTTTAGTGATTGACTTTCTTTCTTCAAGTGCATGTTCCAGTGCAAATATTTTAGCTTCTTTTTTTATTACTGTCCAAAGAGGCCAAGTTGATGCCTATTTTTGTGCAAGAAAAGTTTCTCAAATGAAGTTTCTATTTGGCATACAAATTTAAGGCTGAATCTTTGTTTATTTTACTGAATATTTTTGGAGGAGACGTGGTAGGACCTCTGTAAGTATTTTAGTAGTCCAAATCAGAACATTTATGCTCCACCAAAATGGCTTGTACATAATGGATACCTAAAAAAAGTTGGGATTAGTCACTTTCATTTTGCATTTTGTTAAGTGGGCCTTTAGTCTTAAAGAATGCTTAATCAACTACTTACTTTTGTCTAACTTTGTTAAGTACACGGTAAATGAGCGATGTAAAAGTGAGCACTACGTGTTAATCTTATGAATTGTGTGGATAGAAAGTGAAACGCCTTGCCAAACCTAGAGCGTTGACTTGTAATTTTCTAAAACTTGCTCTATTTTTCACAATTTTAGTATAATTTAATAAAAGTTGATGAAATGTATGGTTGAAAAATTGTGAATTCATGAAATATGTGATTAAAATTAATTTGTAATGTTAATTTAAATTAAAATATAATTTTTAATCCCCATATGTGATTAATTTGTTTTGCTACAAACTGTATCGTTATCATAGAGTTAGGAATACACAAGAATTCATAATACTTTTATTGGATAATATCTTTTACTGATTAATTGTACAACACGCATCTGATATGGATATTATTGTTTATAGTACAAAATATTGTCTTTTCCTTCAATGGGTGGGTCACTTCTCTCTGAAAAACTTCAAGTATTTGGTTTGACAATTCATTCATTCTATGCAATATAGTAATTAAACCTCTATTTTGTTTAGATACTAATTAAATTTATCGTAATAAAGATTAATGGATTATGTGATTAAAAGTAGTGAATTCTATAAAACATATGATTAAAATTAATTTGGAACCAAAATTCAATAAGAGGTATCTCTAAAGAAGGCTAAGGTTAACACCAAGAAAACTAAGAGTAATAAGAAGAAAAGGGGGAGACCATCTAAAAGGATATGATGCAATTCAATATAATAATTTGGAACCTGAGAGGTATATCTAATTCAAAGAAGAGACTCAAAAATCTGATTCATTCTCAACATATTTCCATATTGCTCATTTTAGAACCAATGGTGGATAAAAGTCAATTGCAAGATTACTGTAGGAAG